GAGCGTGGACTCTAATCTGGGAGAACCGGGTTTGATTCCCCACTCCTCCACATGCAGCTGCTGGTGTGACCTTGGGTCAGTTACAAGTTCTTTCAGAGCTGTTCTCTCAGGAGCAGTTCTTGAAAGAGCTCGCTCAGTCCCACCTACCTCACAGGATGTCTGTTGTGGGGAAGGGAAGGGAAAAGAGATTGTAAGCCACTCAAAGTCCTTCAGGTAGTGAAGGGCTGGGTATAAATCCAGCCGCCTCCTCATCCTCCTCATCCTTTGTATGGGCAGGTGGATGTTACATGCATATCCAAATAGGTGGCTGTATGACACGAGTAAGATACATTTTGTTCAGTTGTCTAGAGCAAAGGTTGACTATTCTGATAGGGGATAAATAAGAATAAGGTATCTTCTTTCAGTCCAATTTGATCACTAATGACTGTCGACGGAGCTGCACAGGACTGAAATACTGCAACACATTAGAAATCAATTTATATTGACAATGTGTCTTTTAATCTGTTCTAAGCATGTTTAATTATTGTTTCTTAACTGGGAACGAATACTTTGTCGCACGTATGACGTACAAGATCCAAAAGTAAGTCTTTGTTTTTAAAAAGTTTGGTAAACGAAGTTTTAATACAGTCCACACATATTTGCAAGCTTCCTTTTTAAATGAATGAAAGGTTGCCCAAAATCTCTGCTTTGTCCTTAGACAAGCATGCAGGGATTTCAGCAGGGCTTGCTCAATACAGTTTGTTTGGAGAATGGCTGTCCCCCAGAATCCTGTCTGCTGCTGCTTAAAATATTTGTGAAGCCCTGATATTCACGTACAACAATGAAGTTGTCTTAGGCTGTAATCCTATGCACACTTCTTTAGGAGTAGAAAAAAGTAAGAGTCCAGTAGCACCTTAAAAACTTAACAAAATTTGTGGTAGGGTATGAGCTCTCATGAGTCACTACTCACTTCAGATACCAAACCTGGTGTCTGAAGCAGTGACTCACAAAAGCTCATATCCTACCACAACTTTTGTTAGTCTGTCTGTAGCAGTAGAAAAGAGTCCAGTAGCACCTTGAAAGACTAACACAGCTACCAATCTTGATCTATCTTCTTTAGGAGTGTATTCTATTTTTTTTAAAATTTAGGATATTTTAACCCCAACTCTCCTCCAAGTATGGTGTATTTTGTTCACCTTTCCTCTGTTTTATCCTCCCAACAACCATGTGAGGTAGGTTAGGGTGTGAGAGAGAAACTGACTGGCCCAAGGTCATCCAGTGTACTTCATGGCAAAGTAAGGATTTGAAACTAGGTCTCCCAGATCCTAGTCCGGCTGCCGGCACTCTGCCCGCTATGCCACATTAGGTCTCTCTGGTATTGACTGAAGCTTGGTATACTTCCAGGTGAGCATGCATAGACCAAGCTCTTTCATAAACTAAAAGAAATGCTGATAGTTGCCTCTTGGCAGATTGATAATTCAGTCTTTCCTCTCTCTTTTCTCCCCCCCTCTTCCAAACCACATCAGAGTACAGCAAAGCCAGCAGACTGGAAATACCAGAATGGCCTGTCCACTTCGTGGCTGTCTTTAGAATGCACAGTTAATACTAACATACACATCCCGCTATTGGCTACTTCGGCTTGCCACGAACTGGAGAAAAACATAAGGGTAATACGAACGTTTATTATGCCTGCCTTATTTCTGTCGACAGTATTTGTAGCTTGCAACAGACTGGTGTATGTAGCTCTGTGAACTGCTGTTTGATCCCTCTGCTTTGTTGTTCCACAAGCGCGGACTTCCTCTTACAAGACGCTTTTCTCTGTCCTCCTTTAGAAACCTCCCCCTGGTCTCCTTCTTTGTTGGCTGCTTTCCTAGTTGATCCCAGTGCCATTATGTTCCTGGCGGCTGCCAATAAATCCCCTTCCATCACATCCTGCAACAATTAACCTTTCTTCATCTTTGTCCTGTCCGTTTTCAGTTTATAAACCTCAGCAGGGGTCAAGCCTATTCTACGTGGTACCCAATGCAATATTTTCATCCCTGGGGGAGTGGTGGAGCCTGGCATAAAATTGTATTACCACAGGGGAGCTTTCTGGAATATAGTGGTATATAACCTGCTCAGTTATCACTTTCTGTGGAGTAGGAAAGCAAAAAGTTGGAGTGGGAGCTTTTTTGTCTTTCTGCTCTTCTCTCACTGACAACTGCTTCAGAAAAATTCTTGGTAGTGTCTGTAGAAGCTGTCATTGTGGGATGTGTCTGGTGCGTTGCTAGTGGCAGAGAACTTGTGGTCTTCAGGTTAAATACAATTAAGTACACTGGAAGCATGTAACCAGAAACAAATGCTTTGTACGTCTTCAAAAATTTACTTGTACCCCCACGACAAGCACATCCTGTGAGGTGTGATAGGCTGAGAGAGTGAGTGACTGGCCTAAGGTCACCCGATGAGCTTCCATGGCAGAACTCTGTTCTTCCAGATCTAAATCTGACACTCTGACAAGCTGTCCCATGTTGGTTCTTTGCTCTTTAGGACACGCAATAGAGAGCACGATGCATACCATGCTCCTCAGACACTGCTTCATTCATATTCATGTGAAGAAGAAAAATAAGTTAAATTTACAGCTATGTTTCCTATGAGAAACTATACTTCAGCATCTAGTAACATGAAACGGCAAGAAACTGACACAAGACACCATTTATGTAGTCCTGACCTTTTTGGAAGAAAGTTAGAATATCAGAGTAATAAATAGAACAAATTTTGAGTCCAGTGGCACCTTTAAGATGAACACAGTTTTTTCAAAGTATGAGCTTTCATGTGCAGACACACTTCTTTAGATACAGATTCGTGTGTACACATGAAAGCTCATTCCTTTAATAAACTTTTGTTGGTCTTAAAGGTGCCACTGGACTCAAACTTTGTTCTGCTGATTCAGACCAACACGATTGCCCACCTAGAGTAATAAATAATTATGTTTAGAAGTGGACATCTGAAGAATGAAGAGGCTTCTATGTGGAAAAATCTTAGCTTGTTCAACAGAACTGCTTTTTTGCAATATAAATCTCTCTCTTTTTTTTTACTGCTGTAAAGAATGGACTAACTCGATGGGCCAAGCAGATAGAGGAAGCTGTCATTTTGATCAATGGCCAAGTCAAGGAGGAAGATGCTGACTTAGTCGACAGGCCTGGTGGAAGAGCTCCGTCTTGCAGGCCCGTCGTGCCGTACACATGAAAGCTCATTCCTTTAATAAACTTTTGTTGGTCTTAAAGGTGCCACTGGACTCAAACTTTGTTCTACTGATTCAGACCAACACGGCTGCCCACCTACAGTAATAAATAATTATGTTTAGAAGTGGACATCTGAAGAATGAAGAGGCTTCTGTGTGGAAAAATCTTAGCTTGTTCAACAGAACTGCTTTTCTGCAATATAAATCTGTCTCTCTCTCTTTTTTTTTTCTGCTGTAAAGAATGGACTAACTCGATGGGCCAAGCAGATAGAGGAAGCTGTCATTTTGATCAATGGCCAAGTCAAGGAGGAAGATGCTGACTTAGTCGACTGTCAGGTGAGTGCTTAGTAAAAAGGTAAAGGTTCCCTTGCTCGAAAGCCAGTCGAATCCGACTAGGGTTGCGGTGCTCGTCTCCGTTTCAAAGCCGAAGAGCCAGCGCTGTCCGAAGACGTTTCCGTGGTCATGTGGCCGGCATGACTAAATTCTCCATAATCCAGCGAATGTTGGCAATTTGATCTCTAGTTCCTCTACCTCTTCGAAACCCAGCTTGTACTTCTGGCAGTTCTCTATCCACGTACTGTTGAAGCCTAGCTTGTAGGATCTTGAGCATGACCTTGCTAGCGTGTGATATGAGTGCAATTGTGCGATAGTTTGAACATTCCTTATTACTTACGTTGCTTAGTAGGGCAGGCTTAATAGTGATACGACAATCACAGTGCCTAGCATAGTGTGAGGTTTTTATTGTTCACTTTCAGCTTACAGTAGCTTGAACCAAATAACAGGGGTTTCTGCAGGTGCCAGCCTGCACATAGGCAAAATCAACAACTGCCCAAGTGTGTGCTTTTCTCCATTGGGGCTCCAACCTTGGCCTGCCTGAGGAGGTCATGAAAGCTCCCACTTTCCTGGTTTTTCGCAAACTCTGCAAAACCGAGCTATTCAGGAGGGACAGTACAAAATGGTTTCACAAACCTACTTAGATGAATGATCAGGACTTGTGGTCTTTCGTGCTCTATATGTCATATTGTAAACAGGATACTTATTATGTAATTTCTGTACCCCTTAATATGTCGTATTAACACGCATGCTGTGCTCCTGTTCTTTCTGGTGGTTTCCATTCTTCTAATATCCTAAATGAATTAGTTATTGAATATCCCATTTTGTCAGTTGTACTGACCCACTGTGTGTAGTCCGCCTTGATTCCACGTGAGAAAGGCGGTCTATAAATAGCATAACTAAATATAACATGGACTAGTGATGGACTGCCTAATAAGACATGAAATGTTGTTGTGAGACAGATAGCCAAGTGAACTTTGTCCCTGACTCTCCACCTCTCCTTTGCCCAAGGAATAATTTAGTACAATGTGAGTGTACCCACTTGGCTTGGCGGTGGTGGGTGGAGGAAGTGCCGTCAAGTCACAGCCAACGTATGGTGACCCCCTTGGGGTTTTCGAGGCAAGAGACATTCAGAGGTGATTTGCCCTTGCCTGCCTCTGCATAGCAACCCTGGACTTCCTTGGTGGTCTCCCATCCAAGTACTAACCAGGACTGATCCTGCTTAGCTTCTGAGATCTAATGAGATCGGGCTGGCCTGGGCCATTCAGGTCAGGACATTTGATAAGTATAATGACTTGTCAAAGGCTGAGGTAAGGGTGTCAGTTCAATTATTGCCAAGCGTTTCTGAAGCATTTTCTTTTCAGAACAGCATAAAGCTACTGTACTCATAGGGTATTGTTTGATAAGCCTGCTTATTACAGAAACAAATAAGTTGAAACAATGACAAATTGTAAAATAATTCCAGCGTTTCCTTGTTTTTATGCTGGAATACAAGAGTCATCCTACAGTTTCACAGCAGAGGAAAGGATTAGCAATTATTTAACGTTTGCTTTCAAGGACAGTTGTCCTGAACAGGCAGCAGGTCAGTTCTGGCATTGGGTTTGCAGGAATAACATTGCTGTGTAGCTAAGGAGCAAGCCCACGACTCTGCTTTTGCTTGCAAATGAAAGTAAGTTATAGGGTTGGATTCTGCGATCTGCGAGCACAAGGATTGCCAAATCTTCCCTGCCTCCACCCCAGCCCTTTCTGACCCCAGGAAACTTTATTCCCTGGGGTCAAGGGACCTGCATGGACTAATAGCCCCACAGGTTGGTCAGCTGCAGTGGGGAGGAAGGGAAACCATCTGTTAATGCAAATGCCTTGCCTCTGTTCTAATTGAGCTAAGAAACTCATGCACCCTATTAAATTCTTTACATTATTTTTGCAGAAAAAGTCTGGAAGAGGAATCACGCCGACAGCTACCCAGTCCTTTAATGCCAGGGTTCTAACAAAGTTGGTAAGTCTGCAAGAGCAGTGTGGCACAATAATGAAGAGAATGAGCTGGGAAGTCCCTGGTTCAAATCACAGCGCAGCAATGGATTTATTAGGTGATGCTGGGCAAACTGTTATCCAAATCAGCTTGAACACTCCAAAAACAAAGTCTAAATCTGGACTGCAGCCACGCATTGAAAGTTGCATTGTCATTGTGCTGTAGCAGTTGTTCACCTCTTGGATTGTCCACACAGGAAAATCCAGTTGTGAATGCTAGAGCAGAATCAACTGACATGTGGGTGCAGCCCTGGTCTGCATAGATAGGAGAGTGCTGTGGTAGGAGACTCATCTGTACCGTTTCAGGCTGTAGGCTAGGGGGGTTATCCCTTTTGAGCATTCCCCTCCATAAACACCTGCATGCAAACAGAAACAGCAGATCAAGCAGAAACTTTCTAGCCCAGCATCTTGCCTAGTTATGTGGGAGTATTGCAAAATGGTAGCCTTCACCTGCCATCTGAAGTAGTATAGTCCATTCTGCCACCTAACTTGCTATATGAGTAGGCAAGGTCTAAATGCCAACTATTACATTCCTCATCTATTATGAATGCAACAAGTGGAGCTGAAATTGTATGCTAAATTATTAGAAACAGGAGGCTAAATAGGAAAGTACACAGGGCCTGATCTTATTCAGTGGGAAAAAAACTAGGAAAGCTAGTGCACTTAATATTGAGAACCTGTCCTGACTTTAAGATGAGGCCAATTTTGCAATTAAGCTGAAACCTTGGTTTATAGTACTGGTCAGGGCTTTTTTTGTAGAAAAAGCCCAGCATGAACTCATTAGCATAATAGGCCACACCACACCCAACAACAGAAACCCATTAGCACATTAGGCCCCACCCCTAACAGTACAGCTCATTAGCATAATAGGCCACACCCCCATGCCTTCCCTTGGCTTCCCTGCAGCTGTGGGGAGCCTGGGCAAGCACCCCTTTGAAGGGAAGGGAAGGCAGTTTAAACTGCCTTTCTTTGGCTTGCCCCAGGCAAGCCAGCCCTTGGACAGGCTGGTGAAGGCACAGGGAGGCATTTAAATGCCTCCCCGATCCTTCCAGGGCCCCCCGGCCCACCCGCTTTGGAGTCGCTGGGCGGTGGTTGTTCTCCAGGCCTTCCCTCTGTAGCCACACAGGCAGAGGCTGTAGTGGGTGTGGCCAACTCTGAAGCCAGCCAGAACTCCGTTCCTGTGTGTTCCTGCCCAAAAATAGCACTGGTACTGGTGAACAATGTATGTTTTGTTGGGATGAAGGTTTATACCTTATCTTTCCCTGCAGGTTTTTGTCCAAAAGCTCTAATCGTTATTGGAATATTTAGCTGCCCCCTATCAATCTGAACAGTGATGGTAGGGAGAGCCTGCCATTTGAACATCAGCAAAACTAAATTAAACTACTTGAACACCAGAAAAATTAAACTTTTTTTTTTTTTTTTTTTTACAAAAGAGCTCAGTTTGTGCACTTCAGGTTGTCACCTTGCAAAAGATTAAATCCAGCCATGGGGGGGGGGTGTGGAAGAGAGAGAAAATAACAGCTATCAGCATGTAAAGCAGCTTGAGGATTTTAACTCTGCTGGAAATGTAATGGTGATATAAAGTGGATTGTGAAACATAGCCTTATGACTTGCCGTGTTCTCTCTTTCAGTCACAGAAGTCAAACTCGAGGTCCACAGCAACTGTCCAGATCTGCAGCGGTTCCATAAATCTCAAAGGTGCTTTAAAATGCAAAGCTTACATCCATAATAACAAGCCAAAAGTTAAAGATGCTGTTAAGGTACTTTTGCTGCCCTTCACCCTACTGAAGGACTTGATCTTAACCCTCTTCCCAAGATATCTAACTTTATTTATAGTATAAACAGGGCTCTGGGTGATGAACAACAATATAATAAAATACATTATAAACATTACATTCTTAAAAACAATTCCCAGATGGCATTAATGAATCAATCTTTAATTTTAATGAATCACAAGGAGTAGAAAACTCAAGTCCCCCTCATTCTTTATGTAGTTAGGTGCCCAGACTTTATATCCACAGTTTTTGAATGAAAAACACCAATACAGCTCTGAAGTACATTTATTTTGCCTGTGTTTGACTCACACACCCACTGTGTTGAAATTCTGAAAAATATGAAATGTTCAAGTCTGGTAGGACGTAACAGCCAAGGGCCTGCATTCTTGCACACTTACAGTAGATTAGAAGATTTTTCTAATCCTCCTTCTTCCCAAATAAAGCCGCCACTTCATCTTAGAATGAGATCTTCAGTACTCCTTGTGTTATCAAAAGTGGTTCTAAGTGAATCAGGTTTTTCAGCAGCAGGAAGTCATGTTTTGGATGAGGTCTTTTTTTTAGGGTAGGATTTCCACTTGATTTTGAGATAGTGGGTACTCCAATCTGGCTGAAACACCCTGAGGTATCTGACACTTCTGCCTACACAAAGATAGGTCTGATTTGTGAAAGACCACCGTTGTATTCCTACCATTATAAACAGGCTGCCAAAGAAATAAGAATATTTCATTTGAATGATTATTTAGTATCCGATAATTTGGTGTAAGGGAAGTAATCTTTCCTGAGGGGGCAACAATGGAGTTGACTCCTAGACTTAATCTATATTTGGTTTTATGTATTTTAATATGTTTCTGTCCCACCTCCTCCACAATCTGTGGTGGCTTACAAAAACAAACAGCGACTCAAAACTACAGAGCAATCCAGTTGTAAGCAGCAGTACCAAGGAACCAGCCCTGTGTCCTCCGTTGCATAAAAACTCGTGCAATCTTTAGTCACCACCCAAGGCCTGTCTGGACAACACAGCCTTTACAGTGTTTGCAAAAGCAGGCCAATGTGGTGGGTTCTCCTTTTAAAAGAGAGCTTTCTGACCCACCCACCCTTCCTGGCAGGACTCCTTTCTCTTTGAAAGGCGTGTTCACTGGCTGAAATATTACTGGGGCCATTTTCCACATCGCTGCATTCCTGCCTGCCTGTCCAATTGATTTTAAAATAAATGAGCCCAGTTAGGAAATCATCAGGGTGGAAATCCCAGCCTAGGCAAAGTGGAATTGGCTTAATCCATGAGAAGTAATTGCTTGCATGCCAGTTAAATTCGAGCCATGCGTGTGTGTCATCTGAAAAGCCCATTCTGTGACTTCCCTTTACCTTGCTGTGTCGTGCGTAAGTGCCCGTATAAACATTGCTTTACAAGAACATAAAATTGGTCCGCCTAGTCCAGCATCCTGTTTCACACAGGGGCCAACCAGTGTATTTATTATATTAGGTTTTCATACCGCCCTCTCTGCAAGTGGGCTCAGGGCGGTGTACAAGAGATTCCTACAAAAATACATCAAAATAATAAATAGTCTAAAAATGCAATTCTGAAATTACCCAATACAGGGACTGTAATACAATTCTAACCCCCAATTTACTATAACTGCAGGGTGTGTGTGTGTGTGTGTGTGTGTGTGTGTGTGAGAAAGCAGTTAGTGAACCAAATGTCTGTTGGCAACTGTTAACCATTAGACTGTTGATGTTAAAACCATTGCTGTCCTCAGTCATATGCCTGGCAGAACATCTCTGCCTTCCAAGCCCTGAGGTTGGTAGGCAGAGAGTTCCACCAAGCTGGAGCCAGGGTCGAAAAGGCTGGACGCTCTTTGGGCCAGGGACTTCCGATAGATGTTGATCACCTGGACATACCAGGAGAGGTGGTCCCATACATGACCCGGTACTCAACTTGGAGCCCGTGCAGCTGGCGGAGCACAGGCTGTATGTGTGCTGTTACCGGTGTCCTTATGAGAACCCAGGCCGCTGCATTCTGGACAAGCTCTGACTTCCAGATCAGCCTCAAGGGAAGCTGTACGTAGAGCTGCCAACAAACAAGGCAGAGAGGCCAAGGTCTCTCTTTATTCCCCACCCCTCAATATTGCCTCCTAGCATTGGTATTCAGAAGTTTACTGCCTCTGAATGTGGAGGTTCCCTTTAGTCACCATGGCCAGTATCCGCTGATGGACCTATCACCCGTGAATCTGTCTAATCCCCTTTTAAAGCCATCCATGCTAATAGCTGCCACTGTATTCACTGGGAGTTAGTTCCACAATTTTGGCTTTTTCCCACATGGAGAGCTTCCATGTGAACTGAGCTGTTTCCAAGTACAACTCAGGGGGCTACTGGGGCTTCCTCCTGTGATGCCTTTGCAGTCATGACATCAGGTTGTCAAGGAACAGGAAGGGAAGCACACCACCGTCTTTTGGATATAAGGGGAATCTGTTCCACCTAGCTCCCCCCTCCCCCCCATATCTTTGTCCATTTCATTGCACAGGTGGCCAGTACTTAGAGAAGCATGAGAATCTTTGGTGTTCAGCATGGTAGTGACTTAGAATATTTTTTGCCACCCTGGAAATGTCCTTGTATTTTTCTGGGTTTGTTTGTTTTTTACCTCTGTAGGCCCTGAGAAGGGACATGATAAGCACACTCTCTGATCGGTGTGAAATCTTGTTTGAAGATCTGCTTATGAATGAAACGCCGGGAAAGAAAAGTAAGGAATTGTAAAACTGCATATTAATTAAAATCCTGATGCATGGTTAAATGCAATCATAGTCCCAAATTACAAAAAAGGTGATTGCTCAGTTCCTTCCAACTATAGACCAATCAGTATGCTTTCCGTGATGGGTAAATTATACGTCAAGCACTTATTGTCTAAGATTACCGTATGGATGACAGAACAGAGAGTTATAGGCCTGGAACAGCTGGGATTTTGTAAAGGGAAAACGACTTCAGATCGTTACATTGTATTAGACCATCTGATTTAACAAGTATGTAAAAAGAAGCAAAGTAAAATTGTACGCTGCTTTATAGATCTTAAAGGGGCATTTGATTCAATTGATAGGGAACTCCTTTGGGCTAAATTACAGCAATTAAACATAGATAAAAGACTCCTTAACCTCATGAAACAGCTATGCAACAAAATGTCCAATTAAATGCTCACTGACAGGGAAACTAACCTCAAAAATTCTGTCCAACAAAGGAGTCAAACAAGGCTGCATATTAGCAACCTTTTTATTCAATCTGTTCCTTAATGATGTCTCCCTTTACCTCGAAGTTGTTGATGGCCATGCTCCTAAACTGGATTCTGTCCATGTCCCTCAGCTATTATATGCAGATGACAAGGTACTATTATTTTGTTCCGAAGCTGGCCTTAAAGTGCTCACTGAATAGATGCCTGTCATATTTTATAACTAATAAACTACTCCTAAACCATGAAAAATCAAAAATACTTGTCTTCTCTAAAACTTGGAAACTATCTAAATGGACAATTGGAGGTCAAGTAATTGAACAAGTTAAAATTCTTAAACGTTTAGGTTTACACTTCCAGTATAATGCATCTTGGTCTGTGCAACGACGCCAGAGGCAATCAATTCATACCAGCTGCATTAAAAGTCTTCAAGGCCAAAGTAATCCCCCGACTCAGGTATGGTATTCCAATATGGATACGTGCACTTCAATCAAAATACGTGCATGTTCAATCAAAATTTCTTCTAAAGATCATGGGAATGCCGCACTGTGTGTTTAATTAAAATCCAAGTAACTTTGCCTGTTAATGTTTGGTGTTGAAATGATTATTTTTGAAACACAAGGGAGTGTTCACTTTTCAGTGAAAACAAAGCCTATGTTCACATAAATTCATGTGTTTGACTCTACTGTAACAAGTTGTTTATGTAGGAGTTGCCGTCACTATTGATCTTATAGTCATAGCTGTTTTTCTTCATATGGTGGTTCCAGCCTTAATCTGACATTTATGGAAACTTCTCTAACCTTTCAGGTTATCTGATATCCTGTTGCCAAGTTTGCTCTTTTAAAGTTTTGTTTTTGCTGGGCCCTGTTTCTTTAACAGCAGCAACAGTGGATATTAGCTGACAATAATGCCGCTCTTTGTGAAATCACCATGCCCGTGATCTTTTCTTTTGACCTGCCAATACCTCACCCTCATGCCAGATTAAAAATTTTCTTTGAAAGTCTTCCTTGATTTCAACAGTAGTTTGCCATATGGCATGTGTTCAGGAAACAGGTTCTAGGCCTACAAAAACCCCATGGGCCCCTGAAAGTACTTGCACATTTCTTTAGCTCTTTCTGAATCTGGGACAGAATTTGTAGTCATATGTTCCATCAAATCCTTCACAAGAATGAAAGTGCCACTCCACACACACACACACACCTCGGCCCAGGGTCTGAGCCAAAACAAATACTTGTGCCGGTCCATTTTACGCTTTTTTGAGAATAGTTGTCCCCCTTGTGGTTGTATTCGGAAAATGTTCATATGCCACCTCTCCAGAGAAACTTGTGCAAGTTTACAAAGTAAAACAAGGTCAGAAAAAAAAACAGTTTAAACGTTGATAAAAATTACCTATTAAAAATGCAGCACTGAATTCTGTCTCAGACATAAAAACAAGGAGGATACCTCCTTGTCAGGGATATTATAGTTGTAGTTTCTGTGTTGGCAGGGGGTTGGGCTAGATGACCCTGGTGGTCCCTTCCAGCTCTGAGAATAAATAAATAAAAACAGCACAGAACACTTAACAGCATAAATGTTTTTGCATGTGCTGAGAATGGAAAGACGGGGTGCCTTCTTGTAGCCTAATCCTTCAGGGGTCCAGTGTAGCCTAGACGCTGCTCTGCCATAAAAGCCAGTCTACTTGCCTGTCTTCTTCTTTTCAGGACCTCCTCTGTGAACTATGTTGGGGCTGAGCAGAGCAGAAACATTACTTTTATTTCCACTCTTTATTTTTCATTTTTGTTTAATGATATAAAACAATGAAAGACCAAAGAAACCTGTAAATGAGGAACATTGCCTGCAATTTTCAGTTGCCTCTCTAGGTGGTGTACGTTCTCTACATACTTGAATGTCTGTTATATGTGCCAATTTAGTGCTGAAAAATGAAACTTTTTGGCAGGACCTCTTCCTCTTAATCCCTCTGTCCAAATCCATCTTGCTTTTTGCTGTTCTTTGTTCCAAATTAAAATAAGTAACAATAACAAACAAACTGCAGTAAAAATGGAATATCTGAGAAAGTCAGAGCAGGAGCCAGTTGGGCTGGAATTCTCTTCTCCCTTTAGCCCCATCCCTTTGGGAAGCTGCCTAGGACTGTCTAGTAAGTCACTGGTAAACTTTCACATTAAGTTCCTCCTTCTCCTGCACATTATTTTGCGCAATATTAAAATAGGCATTATGTCAATAATCTGTATAAAGTCCAGCTTGGAAGGCTCATTCTGAAATGGATTTAAGACTATTTTATAAGGAACTGTATCTGGGTTAGAAATGAAATGGGAAAGTATTGTTATAAAGATTGTTTTAAAAAGTATATATTTTTTAAAAAATGTGAGGAACTCTTCGGTTTTTAAATGCCATTTAAGAAGAAGAAGAGATTGGATTTATACCGTGCCCTTCACTATCCAAAGGAGTCTCAAAGCAGCTTACAAACTCCTTTCCCTTCCCCTCCCCACAACAGACACCCTGTGAGGTAGGTGGGGCTGAGAGAGCTCTGACAGAAACTGCTCTTTTTCAAGAACAGCTGTGCCAGAACTATGGCTTGCCCAGGGTCATCCAGCCAGGTGCAAGTGGAGGAGTGGGGAATCAAACCCGGATCTCCCAGATTAGAGTCCGTGCACTTAACCACTACACCAAACAATTTAACAAACACAGCAGCAAAAGAAGTTGTGGGTTTTTTTTAGTATTGTTGTGAGCAATTGTTTTATATAGTTCTGGTTGGCCCAACAATGGCAGCATGACATATGGTAGCCCCCTTCATCCCATCATTTGTGGTGAAAGCATTGTCTTTGGAGAGTTGAATCTAAACGTGGTTTTCCATGGGGAAAAGGGCACTTTTGCTATAGCAGAACCCCCCCCCCCCCGCGGTGACCTATTGAGCTCCAAGCAGGGGACCCTCAGCTGCTGTTGAGGGTTTTATATTCATTTCTGCAATTGGATACAACAGCCAATGAATCCATTTATTTATTTAATTAATTTGCACCCCACCCTCCCGGCAAAGCACGCTCAGGGTGGCTTACACTGGTTAATACATAAATAACAAAATCCACATAAAATAATCTAAAAACAGTTCAATTATAAATAATTCCTAAATTATTCATAAATAATCATTCCTTTATACCCCGCCTTTCTCACCAGCGGGGACCCAAAGAACTTTCATCATTCTCTCCTGTAATTTATCCTCACAGCAACCCTATGAGGTAGGTTAGGCTGAGACAGTATGACTGGCCCAGTGAGCTTCCATGGCACGAATAGGGATTCGAACCTGGGTCACCCAGATACTAGTCTGGCACTGTTAACCACTGGCTCTCAAAGGGTTCCTAATGCAAAAAAGCCATGGTTAAACCAGCAGTTGAAGTAAAACCAATTTAAACAATGGAAATGTAACACTGAATGCTGGCTGATCAATGAATTGCTTAGCTCGGAATATAAAGTGTTCTTGTGCCAAGACTGCTCTGATGCTGTGTGTGCATTAGGAACCATGCTTGTTGAAGGATTTGTTGGCCTAAAAGATACCAGCATGGGAGCTGGACAAAGGACAGGCTTGTTCAGAGAGAGCCAGAATTTAAGAACCAGAATCTCCCAATGGCTAATGCTGAGCAAGGAATATTGGACTGTACCTAATTTAACATTTGGTTTGTGTATGTTATGCCAATTCAAATACTTTCAGAAAGAGGGCCACTGGCTCTTCTTTCTTGTCTTATGTGTCTTTAAATTACTGTGAAATAAAGGAGATCAGCATGGGCAGTGGCAGTCAGCCAATAGCAAGTGTCTTTCTGACGCCACTCTAGTGTCCTCTGGCAGTACTTGGACAATGGCTTTCATCTTTTTTTCTCTTCTCTTTGTTCTTAGGCTTGGAAAGGGAGTATCATGCCTTGCCTTGCAGAGTATTTGCCCCCATCACAGGGTCCTGTGTGCTGGTTTGTGACTACAAGTTTGGTGACGAGACAGTCAGGGAAATCCAAGAGCGTTTCCTTGAAATGCTGGATCAAGCTGTTCAAGCCGAGGATTTGCACACAGTAGAGGAAATGAGCACAGGTAAATATAGCAGCTAAGAGCCAGATTACTTTCTGTCAGGAAGCTAGACCCAAGTGGATTTGATTCATTCTGATGCATCCAAGGTGTCTAAGATCAATGGCCTCTCCAGAGCCCTGCCTCTGGCTGGTTGCAGTGACGTTTGGTTTCTATCTCGGTGTTTTTTATTAGTACAGCAAGATGGGGTACCTGGCCGCATAGCAAGGTATCTTGCCTTGGCTGACCGTGCCAAAGCAATGCCACAAGCTCATGTGCCAAAACAAAGAGTGCTGTCCTATCTTGGGCTGGGGAAATTTCCTCAGCCTCAGGAGTCTTCCCCCAGTGGAAGAGCCCCTTAAGCTGGAAGAAGGGCTTTTTAGGTTTGAGGAAGGCTTCAGACTTTTCTGTCTTTTGTGTGTGTGTGTGTGTGTGTGTGTGTGTGTGTGTGTGTGCCTGGAAGTCATGGTTGACTTATGGCGACCCCTAGAGGTGGCTTCTATTGCCTCCCTCTGCATCCCAGCCCTGGTATTCCTTGGAGGTCTCCCGTCGCAAGTACTTGCCCGGGTCGGCCTTGCTTAGTTTCCGAGATCTGATGAGATCAGGATTGCCTGGGATATGCAGGTCAGGGCGAGGAAGGCTTCAGACTTTCCTTAATGGAAAGGTCAGATACCGGCCAGTACTGTTGTCTAAACCATTCTTATGCACTTAACTTGCTGTTGCTGGGGACTGTGTTGACACAATTGTTTAAAAACATGGCACAGCTCACACATTTCGAGCCAGCCATTTAAAAAAACAAACAAGCCTGTGAGTTAGTTTTCCGTCTTCCAAGAGGGTAGCACTGCAAATAAGAGTACAGCGCGAAATAGCTTAAGTCGGTGCTCTAAACAGGATTTATTGAAAAACATCCGGTGTGTCTGAATGCATTTTGAGCTGCATAAACTCTTTGTTGGGGGTGTGTGTGTGTGCTTAACATTGTTCTCTTAAACTTTCCCATAGAAACTGAATAAGAGCTTCACCTTTAAAAGTGGGGGGGGGGGGGAAACCTCAGAATCTCCCTACAAGATATAGAATCATAGAATAATAGAGTTGGAAGGGACCTCCAGGGTCATCTAGTCCAACCCCCTGCACTGCTAATGTTGAATTTATACACAAGTAGCCCAAACTTCTGCAGTTGCAAGATCTAGTAAAGAATAATAGATTTTGCAGGTCAGATTACATAGTGCTTTTTACTTGTGAATACTGTGGGAACACAATCAAAGAAGGATATTTTTGGACCATAAGTTTATTTTATAACCACTGGGCTAGTGATTGCACTTTAAAGGTCTTATGTGCATATTTACCCTGTGCCTGGTGATTTTACTTTTGAACAATTTACTTTATGGTCCTTATTGAATCTATATTTTGTATATATTTCTGATTGTGTTTATGGGAATATAATTATTAACCATCTTACCACATATGTATGACCTCTGAGGAAGGCCTATTTGGCTGAAACGCGTAAGGTCAACTTTTTAAGCCCTCGACATTGTTATGTTTTATATACATTGGTTGTAAATGGGCCCCTATATATGTTTTAAAATTTGTTATTATTAATAAATACATGTACCTCTTTTTATTTTTTATGGAAAGGTTTTAATATTGGCCCTCCTTTTCACTAACCTTTGTTTGGTTCTGGAGTTTATCGTTAGGTTCAGTTTTTTCCCCTTCTTGTTTCTGCCAGATTACATACTTAACATAATTTGGAGTTTTGTGCTCAAGGAACAATTTGTTGTAAAAGAGCTTGAGAGAGCAGCATTGACAGTTTTGTGCCCCTGGACCAGTAGAAGCTCTGCACAGGCTCTAAGGGCTGATAGAACTGTTCTTAAGGCAAATCTGTTGCTTTTTTATGGCAGAGTGTCCCCGCTAAGGATGAAAATTGGCATGCAAAAAGATCTTCATTATTAGATTTTGTAGTTGCAAAGATCTGGGCTAATGGTGTGCGTGATGGGCTAACCAAATTTGGGTGTTTGGAAAAAATTTGGTTTTAGTGACTACTTCTCCATCTCCCATTGTACATCGTAATGTAATTGTTTGCAATGGTTGCTTAAGATGAAATACCCATTGTCTTTCACAAAATCTGTCAAGCAGGAGGAAATGTGGGGCACATAATAGAATATTCTTAGGGGAAGGGCTTGTTTTGTTTTCATCACACATTGTTTTTGTAGGTTTGGAACTATCTGCTCTTAAAACTGGTTATGTACACAGGCGTCTCGGATAAATGGCATCGTTTACTGCTTTGATTCATCTGAAGCCTGTTTGTGTTTGCTCCTGGCACTGGTGGTGGTCTGTGATATACTTACTGTAGGTGTGTGGGCAAGAGAAGTGCTGCATTCTGCCTTGGTTCGGTCTGTGGGCATTCCTTCAGCTGATAAAAGGTAGCTGACAGTGACTGATTGGAAGATTGGTTATTTATACAGATATGAGAATTCCAGGTGTTGGTCAATTTATCTGCTGTTGTGTTCCTGCCTAAAGCAAATTTTTATGGGAATTTAGTGTTGTTCATAAACTCCTACCAGTCTGGTTGCTGCAGGCTTTGTCGTCATTTCCATGGGCAGGTTTTTACACATGTGATTTTTTTTGGGTAGAATCCAACATACAACAGAAGCAGTGCACCTTCCAAAGGGCCAAGTATTGCTCACATGGACAGAAGTCTTTATGCAACTCTAGTCTGCCTTGGCAGGAAGTATGCTTGTCAGGATATGTGCAAATAGAGTCTTAGGGATCTTTGTATGTTCTGGTTGTTTCCCCTCTTGCAAACTAGCACTAATTATATGATACATTGTTTTAAATTATTCAGCTTCTGGGAGCTTACAGTACCCTTGGCTTTTCAGTTTCCTTTTTCAGAGTTACTGTCCAGTTCACTTTTGTGTCCTGGACGTATATTTCAGTGGCTCTGGTATATAGAATAAGACCCACAGCTTTATATATCCTATATCCACTCTAAATTCTGCAAATCGGTTCATTTTGCATGCACCTTACTTGTACCTTCTTGCTTCCAAAATGGAGCATCTAAATAGTGTTGACAAAGATTTGTGTTTTAGAGGTAGGGAGAGGGGAGAAGGCAGGGTGAGAATGGAATTGGTGACCAAATCTAGTTCTTCTGCCTCCTTTCTCATACAGTTGAAGTAATCCCACCAAAGGAATTTCCAGATGACATTCAACACAAACAGTTGACAAAACAAACACTGCTGCTGAAACTTCACCAAAACATAGGTATGTAGACTTCAGCAAGTGCTCTTCTGGAGGTAATTACTTACTGTCTGGGTAAGATCTATACCTTTAGTAAACCTTACATAGCTTTGATAATGGGGAGAGGTGTTCAAGCTTGAAGCTTGTGGGGGGGCTGCAGGTGTTGGGGCTGCAGGCGTCTTCCAGAAGAGACCCCTTCCATCATGCGTCTCCCAAAACAGCTGACTGGGAGAAATCTCTAAGTGATCAGAAATTAGAGTGATGTCATCTGGTTTATATAGCTAGTTGACTGTAAAGGGAAATCTGTATCGTTATTAGGAGTTTTTACTGACTTCCATGATAAATATTGTTTCTCTGACACACCCAGTTAACTTCCCTATTTAAGAAAGATGTTTGTGATGTAGCAGTGGGGGGTAAAGAACTGAAAGTTAGGAAAATCTATAGAGACTTATGAAGCAGGACTGTTTGTATCAAAGCTAAAATTTGTTTATGAATTGTAAGGATGAAATGTAACGAGATATATTGGGTTGGGTCCCATTGACCAAATCTTCAGGTGCACACAGGGGTGGGGTGCTGTTGCAAATTTCATCCCTTCCCATGACAGCCCTCCAATGCCCCCCGCATGCTGTTCCTGGGGGTCCCCTGTCCCCTAAGACCACCATTTGGGGGGAATTTTTTTAGCATTCCCGCCTTTGTCAGGATTCAAATGCTGGTGTATTATCTGAAGGTATATTAAAAGATTTGCCTGCATTCACTGGTCTGGCAGTCACATCTATACCTTGCCCTTCCTTAAAAGAGCTCAACACACATGAATTCTCACCACTTACTTTATCCTCACAGCAACCTTGTGAGGTAGCTTAGGCTGAGAAAGATTGGCCAGTGTCTCCCAGTAAGCTTGAGTGAGTGAGATTTGAACCGGGGTCTTCCAGATCATAGTCTGATATGCAATCCACTACCACGCATTTGTTCTCAATAATGTCCGGTGATTTTTTTCTGAAGGAGACTCTTGTTTCTGAGCTAGCCCACTCCCCCAGTGCACACACGTACTTTAGCAGCCCATGATGTATCTGGACACTGTGTTGTGTGTTTGCAGTGTTGTTCTGTACAGCCAGTTTCCTCTCAAGGTCTCAGGCTGGGCAAAAGTATTTGAGCTACAAAAGGATAATACGAATCTTACCACTGTGTGGAAGTATACAAGGCTCATGGACCAATAATAGGAATCTTACCACTGTGTGAGTATAAAGATAGCGGCTAGACAAAAAAAACTGTGTCGTAATAGGTGATTTTAACTACACACACATTGATTGGGTCAATATGTGTTCAAGTTGGGAAAAAGAGATTGAGTTTTTAGACACTCTCAATGCTATGGAGCAGATGGTCACAGAACCTATCAAGGGAGAGGCGATCCTGGATTTGGTCCTAAGTAACGCCCAAGACCTGGTGAGAGATATAAAAGTGATTGCACCACTTGGGAACAGTGACCATAATGTTGTTGAGTTCAACCTTTGTATAAATAGGGAATTGAACAAAAAGACTCACACAACCACTTTTAACTTTAAATGGGGTAACTTCTCTGATATGAGGGGACATGTGAGGAAGAAACTGAAAGGAAAAGTAGAAAGGGTCAAAATCATTGGGGACGCTTGGAAACTATTTAAAACTACAATCCTAGAAGCTCAGAAAAAATATATACTGCAGGTTAGGAAAGGCATTAATAGGTATAGAAAAAAGCCTGCATGGTTAACAAACAAAGTAATGGAAGCTGTAAAAGGTAAAAAGGATTCCTTTAAGCGGTGGAAACCTAGTCTCAGTGAGGCTGATAAAAGGGAACACAGGCTGTGGCAAATGAAATGCAAGTCTGTGATCAGGCAGGCAAAAAGGGAATATGAGGAGCATATAGCGAAAAACGTAAGGATCAACAATAAAACTTTCTTCAAATACATTAGAAGCAGGAAACCAGCCAGGGAGGCAATAGGGCCCTTGGATGACCAAGGGGTAAAAGGAGTAGTGAAGGATGATAGGGAAATGGCTGAGAAGCTGAATGCATTTTCTGCCTCTGTCTTCACTATGGAAGATGAGAAGTACTTGCCCACTCCAGAACCGCTGACTTTGGGATGGGTGTTGAAAGACCTGAGTCAGATTGAGGTGATGAGAAAGGAGGTCCTACGACTGATAAGACAACTTAAAAACTGATAAATCACCAGGCCCGGATGGCATACATCCGAGAGTTCTGAAAGTATACAAGACTCATGGACCGATAATAGGAATCTTACCACTGTGTGTGAGTATACAAGGCTCATGGACCGATAATAGAAATCTTACCACTGTGTGCAAGTATACAAGGCTCATGGACCGATAATAGGAATCTTACCACTGTGTGCGAGTATGCAAGGCTCATGGACCGATAATAGGAATCTTACCACTGTGTGCGAGTATGCAAGGCTCATGGACCGATAATAGGAATCTTACCACTGTGTGCGAGTATGCAAGGCTCATGGACCGATAATAGGAATCTTACCACTGTGTGCGAGTATGCAAGGCTCATGGACCGATAATAGGAATCTTACCACTGTGTGCGAGTATACAAGGCTCATGGACCGATAATAGGAATCTTACCACTGTGTTCGAGTATGCAAGGCTCATGGACCGATAATAGGAATCTTACCACTGTGCCCGAGTACACAAAGCTCATGGACCGATAATAGGAATCTTACCATTGTGTGCGAGTATACAAGACTCATGGACCGATAATGGGAATCTTACCACTGTGTGCGAGTATACAAGGCTCATGGACCAATAATAGGAATCTTACCACTGTGTGCGAGTACCAGGGGTCGTTTCGTAGAAAAAGAGCTAGGGGAACTCATTAGCATAACTCATTAGCATATGCCACACCCCCTGACATCACCGGAAGTGTGTCATAAGGCCACACCCCCTGGCATCACCAGAAGTGTGTCATAAGGCCACACACCCCGCCCCCAACGATCCCGGCCGCCGCCACCGGCCTTGCAGCTCCCCTGCTGAGCCCCATGAGGGGCCGGGCGGTGGACCTGCAAGGCCGGCGGGAGTGCAAGGAAGCCCCGTGAAGGCCCTCCCTGGCCCCAGGCAGGCAGGGGTGGGGAGAGGCAGGGAGGAAGTAACTTACCCTCCCTCTTCTTCTGCCTCCTCCTGGCTGAATGAGGGCCGGAAGCGGGGTGGCCGGAAGCAGGGGGCGGGGCTTCGTCATGTGCCCCGCCCCCCGTACCTCACCCAGGGAACTGCGATCCCCCCCCCCGAAATGACCTCTGGCGAGTACACAAGACACATTGACCGAAGCCTGAAGCCCATTTGTGATTGTGCAAGCACAGTCTGGCCTGTAAAAGGTCCCAGCACAAAGACCTAGCTGATTTCCTTGCCCTGGGACTGCCCCTGCCTCAAGTATGGTACAGTCCCAGTCCTTTTTATGGGATCCTAAAAGCGATCTGATGGCCTTGCTCTCCCCTGTATCTATACAGTGCTGTATCTCTCTTTTGATCTCTTAAAGATTTCTTGCTCCACTTGCTGTGCTGTTTACCTGCAGCTGTGCAAATTAATATTTTGGTGTTGTGGTTAAAGTAGTTGACCTCTTTTATCAGGATCCAAAGAACCGCACCATTATTTCTGCATTCCGATCGTTTCCCAAATGGTGCCACTTCCATACTTAAGGGCAAATTGTCTTTGAAAGTTTGGGAGTGTTAGTTCTGAGAAGGGGAATCCATTCTTCAAGGAAGGGGGGGGGATTGGGCATGTGCAAACCCTTGGGCCACCCCCAAAGTCACTCCTTAGATGCTGTCCTTAGAGAAGGCAGTAAATTAAACGATGGCCAATTTGGGATTAGGGAGGTAACAAAAAGAGGAGAAGAAATGAGGGAGGTGCAATTGAAATAAAAAGTTGTCACTGAAATACGTAGTTGTAATATTCTGCATTTCTCCTGTTCCTTTTTATTTGCTCCCCCACCCATCCTGACTTCCATAGAAGGGGGTGGACTACTCCAGTCAATGTTTCAGAGTATCTCAAACGGTCGACCTCTGAGCTAGGGGTATACATGGAGAGTAGGGCTGGGGTGGGATTCAAAAGTGTACAGGGAGAAAATGCTTTAGCCAGATGTGCACACCTGACAAAGTCTGCCCAGAGAACAACAGGGTGCAGGATTATATTTGCCTCACCTGCCTGTGTTCCATCTAATGTGGTAGATCAAGATGGGTAGCTGTGGTAGTCTGTCTGTAGCAGTCGAAAAGAGCAAGAGTCCAGCAATACCTTAAAGACTAACAAAAAAAAATGTGGCAGGGGATGAGCTTTCATGAGTCACTGCTCACTTCTTCTGGTATCTGAAGAAGGGAGAAGTGACTCACGAGAAAGCTCAAACCCTGCCACGTATTTTGTTCGTCTTTAAGGTGCTACTGGACTCTTGCTCTTTTTGACTGCAACATCCAATGTGTCACTGGTGCCTGTGTGGACCTGTGTGTTAACAGCAGTTTTAATGCGCCAGAGCATCAGAAAGTTTCTGCCATGCCGTCACACAGTCTGTCTTCATTGAGTAGAGTTTGGCCAGGGAGCAGAGGGAGATTCTGGAGTGCTGCGTTCGTATGTTTTCCCCGTTTGCATTGAACAGATCCAGTGAAATCGACATACGCTTGGACTGCCTTTGTGTATCTCCCTGGGTCTGTGGTGCACACTCCAGAGGTGCAGGTATAATAGTATGAGATGTGTTTGCCACCGTCACCCATTCCTGATTTTGCTGGACTCATCACATTACCCCCTGACCTGGATGGTCCAAGCTAGCCTGAAGCTAAGCAGGGTAGTCCCTGGTTAGCATTTGAATGGGAGACTACCAAGGAAGTCCAGGGTTGCGACGCAGAGGCAGGCAATGGGCAAAACCACCTCTGAACGTCTCTTGTCTTGAAAACCCTACAGGGTCACTGTAATTCACCTGTGACTTGACAGCTCTTCACACACACACACATACACAGTTGTGTTCTGTGCAGAGGCAATGGGTTACACATTAAGTCCGACACATGCTGGCAGAAGCGGACACTGAGTTGCAATGTCCCAATTCCATCGCATGTCAAAGCTGTTTGTGTTTGAATGAACAGGGGGGAAAGCATTTTACGGAAGTCATTTCCATTTAACTGGTGAGAACCAGCATGATGTCATAGTCAGTATATGGGACTGGGATCTGGGAGGCCTGGGTTCAAATCCCTGCTTCTGCCACAGAAGCTGGCTGGGTGACCTTGGACTAGTCACACCTACCTCATAGGGTGGTCATGAAGGTAAAATGGAGGATAAGAGAACTATGGCAAAAGCTGCCTTGGGTCCCCATTGGAGGAAAAAGCCAAGTATCAGTATCTAAACCCATTAACAGTCTAGCTGCCTTGACTGTATCTATGTTAATTCCTCTTCCCCCACTCATTGCTTTCTAGCAATCTAGGTTCTTCACATACTGAACTTCTTTCTTCTCTCCCTATTTTCTTTCTTTCTTTTTAGGAGTTATGATAGCTGCGGCTGTTGCAATATCAGCTGCAGCCTTCTCCTTTAACTACTTCAGTGACTAGACTTCTGGCCTGGAGAATCATCCTGCAAATTCCAGCCATCACGGACATCCTAAGAAGAACTGCACCTCTGGAACTGATTGCACTAGTGACCCAATGTGCCACCTTAAAAAAATATATATGGAACCAATTAGCTGTTCTAAATAATAATGATTATGGCTTTGGCCGTCTTGTTTCTGCATGCAAATCGTGTAGGTGGTGTGGTTTTAAAAGGGGGGGGGGGAACCGACAACTCTACCCACTAGCAGATAATACTTGTATTATAACAGTATTTTTCCAGGAAGAATTTGTCAATTGGGTACTTAACTTTCCTCCTTGCTATTTAAAAGCCCTTGTGTTTGTGTGTTTTAAGAGCTGTGGAAGCCATGAGATCTGAAGCGGTTTTTCTTCTTCCTTGAATTACCCAGTAATTCAGGTGTTGGTGTTAAAAGAATTTAGTGGCTATGACTACATTTTCTTCTGTTAAAGGGAGCATCCCAGGGTCTGTTAGAGCATGTCTGCCTTATAGGTTGAAACTGGTTAAATCTTTCCCCCAACCCCACCCTGTCAAATTATTTTGATAATGTAGCTCTAGGAGGAAGATCTGGGAATTCTGAGCTCCCTCACCATGGATGGTTCCAGCATTTTTGGGGCAGAAAAGCAGTGAACGCTGTAATGCCAGTATGTCTTTGTAGCATAGATATATCCTAAGTTGACGTGATCAGTGTTTGGATAACTTGTTCAGCCAGCAAGTGGTCTTCCGTAAGAGTATCCTAAATTTTCCAGTGTTCTAATTTCCGATTAATAGGCTGATCATGTTCTCCAGTTGCACAAACAAAACCCCAGCAGCATAACCCCACTTGCCTTGGTTAAGCAGCCTTTGATTCTCTTTCTCCATTCCCTCAGGTGCACTTACCTCATAGAGGAACGGACAATTTCACCTCAGGTGTACTTACCTCATAGAGGTACAGACAATTTCACCACGTTTCCTGCTTGCTCTAAGGCCTCATCTATAGCACTGTATAGAGTTAGTTCTCACACTGACACAGCAGTACTAGTGGGACAATTAGGGATAATGCTTTACAATGGGACTTGGGAGCCTGTCACAATCAGATGCTCTGTGGCACAACGTGATGCCTCAGTTTGGGCGGGGAGAGAAGTTGGGCGCAGGCATGACACTTCGCTAAAAGCACTTCGTAAGACTTTGAGGAACACATCAATGTTTTGTTTTGCACTAGTCAAAGAGCTGCGGTGGCTCAAGTGGTTAAGACGCTGAACTGCAGGCTGTGGAAGGTCAGCAGTTCAGTAGTTTGAGACCCGAGTGTGCCGCATGACAGAGTGAGCTCCTGTCTCTAGTTCCAGCTCCTGCCAACCTAGCAGTTTGAAAGCAAGAAATTGCAAGTAGATAAATAGGTACCACTTCGGTGGGAAGGTAAGAGCGTTCCATGCGCCTTAGTGTTTAGTCATGCCGGCCACATGACCCCGGAAACGTCTTCGGACAGCGCTGGCTCTTCGGCTTTGAAACGGAGATGAGCACCGCAACCCTAGAGTCGGATTCGACTGGCTTTCGAGCAAGGGAACCTTTACCTTTTACCCCGGGATGATGCTCTTCTTGACATGCAATAGAAAAGAGTTCATAGATAGCAGATTCTTTAAGGGATTTGGAATTTGATAAGTGATGTCTTCTATCTGGGAGATACCTGCCTTCATTTACAAAAAAAAAACAACAACAACTTTGGATGTAATAGTACCTGTGCTGTTTTAGGAAACCAGCAGTTAGAACCTGGGAAGAGTTCAGGAATGCAACGGTTGAGGCCAAGTCATATTTGTCAAAGGAGCAGCCTCTGGAAGGGAGGAAGTGTTCAGTTCCTAACTCATTTTCCTCTGCTTCTGAATTCTGTCTGCCAGCCTTCACTTGCCATGCTAGGTTAGAACTTGCTTTGTATTTGCGATTCAATGGGTTTCCAGGGGTGGTACATCTTTTATCCACCTGTTAGTTCTCAGACGGTTAATTATATTTCCCCCCCTGCCCTGTTCTTGCATGCAGAATTCTTATAGCGTGAAATCGGTCTAAAGATGACTGTTCTGTGTCTGAAAGGATTTGTGGTAACCTTGGCTCATTGCCTGTAGAGGCTTGGAAATAGACTTCAAGAAAGTACAATCGCTCCGGGCCAAACACCTGGTTTAACCTAACAAATCCCACTGCGATTTGATGTGTGGGGGTTCCCCTTTGTTCATAAAGGGCAGGGAAGACCTAGCCTTTCTTTTCTTTTGCTGTAGGCAAGTGAATAATACACCTGTCAGAACAGTTTATTAGTTTAGCTAACCTCTTGGAGGGAACCCAGCCCTGTGAGTGCCCTGCCCATGGAGATGGCAGGTGAGGTAGAACTGGGTCTCACCCTTTTCTTATCTGTGGCCTTTCTGCACATCCCAGTAGCTGGGTGTAATCTAATTGGGAATGTGTAGTGGTGAATGGGAGATGAAGGGTATCCCCCTTCTTCCTCGCAAATGTTTCCCTCAAAGGGCAGCGCAATCGTGTTCTGTATCTGCCCCTATCAGTGAAACAAAGAGGTACAGTGAGTGGCTCCCTGGGGCCATTTCAAGTGAGGAAAGTGGTATGCATGGGGAAGTCTTGACACACACACACACCATGCCTCTTGCACTATCATCCTGATCAGAGTTGTGTGGGTAAATGTATGGTGGCTGAGCAAGGTTCACAGTGCTCAGCAGGCAGGTCTGTAGTGACCATATAGCTCTTTATGGTCAGTTTGGTGTAGTGGTTAAGTGCACAGACTCTAATCTAGGAGAACTGGGTTTGATTCCTCACTCCTCCGCTTGCACCTGCTGGATGACCTTGGGCAAGCCATAGTTCAGACGAGAGCTGTCCTTGAAAAATGGCAGTTCTTGAAAGAGCTCTCTCAGCCCTACCTACCTCACAGGGTGACTGTTGTGGGGAGGGCAAGGGAAAGGAGTTTGTAAGCCGCTCTGAGACTCCTTTGGGTAGTGAAGGGCGGGGTATAAATCCAATCTCTTCTTTACCTGGCCCTGTGACCCCCAGGTGCTGAATAAATTATGTGAAATAGGAGAGTCATGCAAATAGGCTTAAGTTGCCAGATTTAAGGCTTTCTTGGTGCTGAATCTGGGTCAGACTGTTCTTTTTTGACACATACAGTTCCTTCTGCTACTGGTTACTTGCCAAGTTATGTCTTACTGGTTAATTTAGAAAAATAATGGCTGCTAGAAAACCTGAGATGTAGTCCCATGCAACACATTTGCATTTAATTGTTTGTTTGTTTGTTGGATTTATGAATCGCCCACCCTGCAAGCAGGCTCTAGGCGATTTACAACCTTAAAACATTTAAAAATACAATGGATATATAATTAAAATTATCACCGTAAAACAGTAATTTGTACATTAAATCCAATCAAAGATGGCATAGTAGTCCTCCTTTGCCGGCCACACTGCTGTCCTGCATGGTCGGGCAGGGAAGGGTATGTGGGGGCCAGAGAAGAAAAACAAGAGGGTGCCAGTCCTAACCTCCCATGGCTGCCGTCAACTGAAAGCCTGGCGGAACATCTCTGCCTCACGGGCCCTGCAGAATTGCATCAAATCCTGCAGGGCCCTGATGTTATTTGGCAGAGAGTTCCACCAGGTTGGGGCCAGGTCTGAAAAGGCCCTGGCCCTAGTCAAGGACAGCCGGACCTCCTTAAGGCCAGGGGTCACCAGCAAGTTGTTATCAGCTGATCTCAGCACGCTTCTGGGGACATATTGGAGGAGACAAATCTGAACAGACTTGGGAATTGAAGAGTCTGACTCGACCGTGCAACTGAACAACAACAACGACACGAATGCAAAAATGTACATGAAACTTTTACCTGCATGAAAGCATTCACATTAGCAGTTTACTAGTCTCCACCTCTGTCACTTGAGGAATTGAAACTAGACATGCATCCGTTTGTGACTTTGTTTCTAATCTATTGAATTAATTTCAACCACCCAGTAAGCTACAATTAGATGATCAAGCTCCAGAGGCTGAAGGACACTCACCAAAGATTTTTTTAAAAGACTCACAATGTGTACCAGTTTTGATGCAGTGATTAAGAGCAGTGGACTCTAATCTGGAGAACCGGGTTTGATTCCTCACTCCTCCACATGAAGCCTGCTGGGTGACCTTGGGCCAGTCACAGTTCTCTCAGGACTTTCTCAGGCCCACCTACCTCACAAGGTGCCTGTTGTGGGGAGTGTGAGTGTAAGTCACTTGAGACTCCTTAGGGTGGAGAAAAGCTAGGAATAAAAACTGGCTCTTCTTCGAGAGTGGTGTAAGGCAAAAGCAGAGGGAAGCAAGATGAATCTGCTGACAAGAACCCAGATGCTGTGGTCTTTACTCCTGATAATACGTAACTGTAATCTGGGTACTTCTTTCTATGTGCTTCACTTAAGTCTTTTTTTAATGAAATGTTATATATGGTGATTTATGATCTGCTTCTCCTTCAGATTTTCTTGCAGAAACCCCAACTGGTATAACGATCAAAGTAAATTTTATGTTCTTTAGTCATGGGATGTTGCTGTTGAGCGTTAATAGGTGGAGGGCTTGGTTGGCGCCATATGAGTACCTCCTGAAAGTTTTAGATTCGTGGATTCCCCTAAGAAATCATGCTTATGCATGCTTAGCCTGCCACTTCAATTAGCTTTTTTCTTTAGAGACAGTTATAATTAAACATTTTGTAACCCTGCTGTATTTTTAGGAAGGAGGTAATATGTGCTTAAATGGTCTTTATATCTTGTTGTTTTAACAGGGAATTCTAGACCAGCAGAGAGTACAGTACAGAAAGCACAATTAAATGTATTGAACTGTGCCTACAGAATTTGTGTACATTTTCAAAAGGCCAGTTTGGTGTAGTGGTTAAGTGCGCATGATTCCCCACTCATCCACTTGCACCTGCTGGATGACCTTGGGCAAGCCATAGTTCTGTCAGAGCTGTTCTCTCAAGGACAGTTCTCAAAAGAGCGCTCTCAGCCCCACCTACCTCACAGGGTGTCTGTTGTGGAGAGGGGAAGGGAAAGGAGTTTGTAAGCTGCTCTGAGACTCCAAGTGAAGGGCAGGGTATAAATGTTCTCCTCCTCCCACAGAGTTTCCCTTCCCATCAGCACTGCAGCTCAAGCGATGTATCAGCACGAACAGTCGATCTTTTGCTGATCCCTACAAAACCCTCTTATGCAGTTTGTGATTATTCCCATTATACACGGATGGGGAAATGAAGTAGTTTGCCAGCTCCAGGTTAAGAAATGCCTGCAGATTTTGGGGGTGGAGCCTGAAGAGGGCAGAGTTTTGGGGAGAAGAGGGACCTCATTGGTATAGAATGCCATAAACTCCATCTTCCAAAGCAGCCATTTTCTCCAGGTGAATTCCTGTCTATCGCCTGGGGGTCAGTTGTAATAGCAGGAGACCTCCAGCCACCACCTGGAGGCAAAGGATGCAGTGGTTTCCATAATAGGTTAAACACACTTTTAAAAAAAAAAAAAAACCTGGGAAATCTCTTCATAGATTTAGCAGTAGATGTAGGTACTACTGACTTAGGATCCTTCCATGTATCTGTCAAAGCAGACTTTCATTCCTGTTGTGCAAGTATACCTATACATTTACTGGTCTGTTGGAGTTGCAAAGCACTGATGCATCAAATGCCAGACGGAAGTAGTGGTAATATAAATACATCCATGATCAACATTCAGTGGGAAAATGGCCAAAATCACTGTATTGTAAAACAGCCCAGACTAAATCCCCATGACAATTACCAAACCGAGTAAAGAGTCTGAAGCAGACAAATTTTAAAACTAAATTTCTGGGTCACCCTAAACGTATTATTTCAGTTCAGATTCTTGTTCCTCATGTCTGTGTTTCCATGCCTGCTTGTAACAGACAACCAAGAAGTATTGTAAGTTATAGACTGATAGTATAATGTACAGTTTGATGCCAAATGCTGCTGCTTGCCTCCTGATAGATACTGAGGTGCATAATACAGATTGAACCGGTTCTGTAGCATTTGCAGTATTTCCAGATTAATTTAGCTCAGGATGTTGATTTAAACTCCGTCTTAGATGCCATTTCCCCCTATATTAGCCCTCATACCATTTATGTTTGGTGTGCCAGTGTCTAGTTAAAAAGACCATTTACAGCAGACAGGGCTGGTTATCCTACCATTTCACTCAAAGCTTAAGAAGCCACCTTCCAATTTACAGCTTTTCCTGTCAGAAGACTCACTTCGGTTGGAAGGCTTCAGACTTTGCTGAGTAGAGAGTGAAAAAGGATATAGGCAAGGATCTTTACGGTGATGGCCCTGACCTTGGTGAAGCCACGGGCAGTTTTTCTGTTCTACCCTCTGTAAGAGATGTTAAGTACACCTATTTCTGAAGGGATATTTGTCTCCTGATTTATTTCTTATGTTATATTTTGATTTTATTGTTTATATTGTCATTTTACTGTGTTTAAGCCAAATGGTGTTCTGGAGCCGCCTCTAATTTATCCAGGTTTCTTTGAAACACAGGTTTGATCAGACATCCCCCCCTTTACTGGCCTTATCATGCATTCACCCCATGGTTGATCGATCAGATGAGGCAGCCACGGAGTGGGGCGGAGGGGCAGTTTTCCTTAATCATTTGTCTTCTGGGCATGCATACAGGCACTCATGGGAAGTAGTGCCTCAAACTCTTGGCAGGATAGCTGCAGCTGGTGGCCAACAGGATTGCTGGAGGAGGTTGCTGGGGATCTATAGTTCAGTGTGGGGGGGAAGTGTTTTTTAAACGGTGGCCCTGAGGAGGGAGCTCTCTCTGGTTCAGCTGGAACGGGTGGGGGAGGGGGGGTGACAAAATGTACAAGTACTGCTTGAAGCGCATATCTGCTTATGCGCATGTCGGTAACACAAAAAAATGGCAGCGAATCAGGAAGCCAGTGATCTGACTTCCCAAATGGCTTCACCGCACAAGAGCGATTATACATCCACAGGAGCACTGTGAAACTGGAAGGATACATAAATGCTGGACTTTCTACATGGTCAGGAAAGTCTGGAGTGAGCACGGGGGGGGGGGCTGACGACTGTGAGACGGGAGAGAGATGTTGCTGTCTGGACGAGCACTTTAAATCCTTTGGGAAGAAGCAATGACAACTGATCAAAGTGCTCATCTGATTGCAGCCCTAATGTCCCAATTCATCAGAATATGCTGAATTTCTAATTATGCCCTGTTTTCAAGAAGTGTACATAATCATGAATGAGTTCTCTTTTTATTTCTTAGAGCTCAGAAATGTTTTACTTGCTTTTCAAGAACTAAATTTGAAATCTTTCTCATGTATTAAGATGATGTCAGCATCCTTTGAAAGGTTCACTTTTTGATATCTTTTATTTATTACACCAACACAAAATATAGAGGCTTTAGTAAATTACATTTTCCATCAACCCTGATGTTTAAAATAGAATGCAACATTACACAGTAGTATCTGACAAAGATGTTAGTTGTGTATCTGAGGATTTCTTACTTATTCCTTTCCCAGCAGTAACTGAATGTCTATATTTTCACAATTATAAAAAGTAAACTAGAAAATGTGCTCTATGGTTTCTGCACCATTTGCAAACATGCAAAATATTTTACCTGCTCAGCTTGTTAGCATTTTGATATTTCATTATTTCTAACCCTCTCTGACTGGATGTAATGCTTTCCACTCAGCTTTTGAGACCAGCTTTTCTTGTGGAAAAGAGACCTGCAGCCCGATGCACAACGATGAAAGGGGAGTGAGTGAGAATTATGATTGCCAGCCCAGTGCTGACAACTGGCAGGAGATGAGGAGACTCAGATATAGTGAAATGGCATTGTGTGTCACCATGATGTCACTTCCAGAAGTGATGTCACAGTGTTGTGTGATACTCTAGGATTTCCCTGAAATTCTATGATAAAAACAATAGAGATCAGGGAAATTACTAGAGTGTCATGTAATGTGGCAATTCATTTCTGGGTTCCTAGCTGGAAGTGACATTGCAGCACTGGGTGATGTTTCTCACCCCATATGTTTTCCCCACCACTCCACTGAGCAGCAGCAGGGAACCCCTTGCTTTTAGTGGGCATCTGGCAACCCTAGTGGGGGGGGGGCTTGCCTCCATATCCATCCAGTGCATTGCCTTTGATGCTACCAAACATTCCCCAGGCAGCTAAACATCTAAATGGGACCAAATCCTATCCAGATGAACTTGGGTCATGTGATTGGCCCCTACATTTTATGTGAGAGATCAATCACACAATCCAAACCTAGGCATGTAGGATTTGGCCCCATTCCAATGTTAAGCCACCTTTTGTGTAATCAGTGGTATCAGAAGCATGGCCAGTGCACCAGGAAGATGGTCAGGGCAATAAGGCGCACTCTAAAGCTCTGCCCCAATCCCCAAAATAAATCAAATGGGCTTGCCTTTTTAGTCAATTGCCTTTATGATGATTCAGCTGAGTTATTTTGAGAGCAGCATGTGTAAAGAGATTTGTTTTTAAGCCTATATGCAAAACACAGAAGGTCCAGTATACTCATAATATATTAAAACTGTGAAAACGATACCTTTGCCCCATCTAGCAAGGTTTCTGGGCTCTGTTGTGTCACTGTCAGTCTCTAAGGCTGTTTTTTCTTCTTAAACTTCCTTAGTATTATAATGTACAATTTTGTTAATTGTGCTAAGTTTTGTTGAGCTAATATGTATAATAATGCGTTCCTTCATGCCATTAGCTTGAAGAGCCGTTTTGCAATCTGTAACGTCTTGGTACTCAAAATACCATCAAATATAGATCATTGTCTGCATGTTGCAGACTAAAGCTGGAATGATCATGATAAGACTACCGTACATTTTCTAACAACTCTTTTAGACCCATTGTGTTGAATATCCAATTAGCTGGAGTATAGAACAAGACATATTTAATTGGACCAATTTTCAAGACACTATACAGTGTGAGTTAGAAGAATAAATGAACTGTTCTGTTGAATCTCCCATTCTCATTATTATATTGAAGTCATTCACGGAAAAGGGAGGACTGTGGTAAGCCATGGGAACCCAGTATCCGGCCTTAGGGATGCTGAACCTTGGAGAGGTTTAACAGGTCTCCGTTTCTGTCTTCCCCACCTCATGCCTCCCTGCCCTGCCTAATGCCTTGTAGCCTCCCTATGCTCTGAATCGCCTCCCTGTCAAAATCTTCTGAGTCTTCCTGACCACCCACTAGTTTGTTGATGGCTATGGTGCTCCAGCAGCTCCACCCAGCCGTCTCTGGAGGCTTAGCCTGCACAACTTCCCATATCCACTGGACTTCAGCCAACTCATTGTTGTGTGTCCTAAATCCTGCCTGCTGTTCCTTCTTTTCCCCACCCACCCCTGCAGGTGACTGATAACCACATGTGCCCCTGTCAATCCAGGTTAATTTCTGAAAATCTCTCCACCTTGCAAATCCTAAAGCTACCCTGGGGAATTCTGCCTCTGCTATCTTTGCACCTACTTCCTATCATTTTGTGCTTGTTTCCCAGCGTTTTATAGAGATTAAATCACAAGGGATCTGGGCCTGAGTCTGAAGGTTACAACTGGAGTTAAAAAAAAAAAATCAGACAGGGTGTCTGTAGGAGCAAGTGAGTCAGCAGTTTTGTCTCTATCTGACTATTTTTATAATTATTTGTACTTTCCCTATGAAGCTTTTAGTATTACGGCGTAGGCATGATAGGAAAAAAAGAGTATATATAGTAGCAGCTGAAGTACTCAGCTTCACGTACTGTTGCTTTTATATATGTATTGTTTGTACAAAGTGCTTAAGCACAGGCAGCATTTGCTAAATGAACATGGGCCCTGCTGAGATCCAATTGCAATATATACTGGGGAGGGGAAAGAAATATCAAAGCATTAGATCTCTCATCAACTATTCGAGCTCTTTCTCCTCTATGTTCCCATTCCCAAGTGCTGGAATTTCCTTCTGAGGTAGCAACCCATACTCCTTCAAGAACGTCTCCACATCCACAGCAAAAAACTCCTCATTGAACTGTTCAGTTACACTTAAGAAATTGCTTACAAGCTCCCCACCTCTGTAGACAAGAAGTGTTGGGAGTCCGGCCCCTGTGTTAGTGGCCTTGATCTTGCAGAACCTCACCATGCAATATTCAGCCGCGAGACAGGTCAAACTGTTGTTGAGTAAATCACAGCCCTTGATACCATCTTCATAAATGTGGACAATAATGGTAGTGGTTTTCCTCTCCTTCTCAATGGTCTCCAAGAACTGCTCCCCACTCTGCAGCTCTGAAAGATAGCCGTACTTGGGCCCAAAGCTCAGCCTCTGGTGCATGTCCTGCATACAGCGCTTCCGGTATTTCCGTAGGCAAGTTTCATCTTCCTTTTCACAATTAATTAGCTCGTACTCTTGCATGCTCATCTGTAAACAGTGTGAAAATTAAGTTGAATTACTAGTTGACTTTAAACCCGTGGTTTCCAACCTTTTTGGGGATGGTGACTCACATGTCCAAATATACTTTGGATGGTGACCCATCCAAGGCTCTGGTCTAAGGTATTTTGGTGTCCTAGGCAAATGATAACCATGGCAACCATCTACCCCAGCATTCTGTTTTCTATAGTTCCCAATCAGATATTTTTGATAAATCAACAGATCACAATGGGTGCAACTACCCCCACTATGAACCCCAAGCAAGTGGGAGGGGGGCTCTCCTCCTTCTCTGCTAGCAGGGGCAGAGCTGGAGTTTGAGGAGGCACATTCAGGGGGTGCTGGAATGAGGAGGTATGTGAGGATGGCAGTGGATAGGTTGATGGCAAGGGGCTCAGGGTAGTATATCTCCCACAACAGGTAGAGGGCAGTAAGGCGCTGGAGGGAGCTGGGCCAAGAGGTCAGGCTGCTGAAGGAGCAGCACCAGAATAGAGCCCGTGCATGCACATGCCTCTTTCTGTCCTCCTCTGATTTTTCCATGACATGCTGAAGAGCTCCCACCTACTCTCCAGCCTCCCCCCCTCTTTTCAGGTACTACCACAAAGTTACTAGTTGCCAGATGGCTTCCCCCCCTCATTATTGTCACAAAGAGGGAGGGGGAGATGAAAGTGTGAGAAACTGGCGAGGAGGAGGAAAGAAAGAAAAGGATGCAAAGGTTAGGAGAGGCCAAGGGATGAAGCAGGGGTGCCTGCCAGAAGCAGGCTTCTTGGTGTTGCGCTAATGTGCAGAGTCACTAGCAGTGCCAAAGTGGAAGTGATTTTCATCATCTTGTGTCAATGCATTTGCCTAAAACTGTATGGCGAGTCTGTCCTTTTCCTCCAGTTTTTCATGATGCTGGTGAGCCCCCTTCGTTTGCCCCTTGCTGGCCTGTGAAGCGGTGTTGGGGAATGGAGGCAGGCAATGGTGGGACCTGAATACATGGGGAATGGTATGTTGGACTAGGAACACAACTGAACTGTAAATTAAAAGAAAAGCTCATGTCATTTTTGTAAATATTTCCCTTTGAAAAACCAAGTCATAAGAATTGAATGTGTAATTAGGCAGATGCATGAAGAGGACAGCTCTGCAAAGAGAGGTCTCAAATATTATAGGGAACATTTTGGAATGGACCCCTATAAAAGCTTCCACATCAAGCCTGCTCTCTATCTGAGCAATAAAATTCTATTTCTGTGGACCTCTTTTGCTCTTCCTGTGCTTTAGTCTTTAGCCCACCCCATTTGATCTCTGCCTCGCTCTAAATTGCTGTAATGTACTGTCGCCATTACCACGTGTAGTGCATTCAGCCTGACATGCCCGGACTTGCCCGGGCTGGCCAGGCAATATCCCTCAGTAGCTTCAGTCGAAAGACAAAGGATCCGTAGGATCCTAGCCGGCCCAATCAAAGGGCCAGCTTCCCAGCCGGGAGACCAATGGTCGCCCGGTTACTGTAAATAGCCTATCGGGAGTAGGGGGTGTGTTTAGGTGTGCTTGGTGGCGGGTTTTCTGAACGCATATAAACCGGCCTGCGAGCTGGTTTCTTTGTCTTGTTCCTGATCTAATAAAGTACTCTTGCTGAATCACTCTTGCTGAATCACTCCACGTTCTGAGTACTTTTCACTGGCGACGAGGATGGGATTTACGACCCCATGAACAAGACCCGGACGCCAACACGAGCACCGCACCGAGCCTGACGCCGAGACTCCCCGGGACCGCGCAGCTTCGCATCCCAGCTTCCGGCAACTGCTCATCGCTCCGCTCCCGGCTCCGCTGGCACGCTGCTGACCCCTCGAGCAGCAGCATCGCTCTCCACGCCTAGCACGCTTCAGGCTAAGCTCGCCCGACCAACACGAGTACCGCACCGAGCCTGACGCCGAGACCTCTCCGGGAACCGCGCAACTTCGCATCCCAGCTCTCCGGCAACTGCTCATCGCTCCGCTCCCGGCTCCGCTTGCACACTGCTGACCCCTCGAGCAGCAGCATCGCTCTCCACGCCTAGCACGCTTCAGGCTAAGCTCGCTCCTCGACCA